ATCAGGATTGGATTAGTTTCATTCATACTTCAGAGGCGCACGCTTAGGGAGCGTCCCCAAAGAGTTGATTTTATCGACGCAGTGTCTCGTTTCCTTCTCAGGGAACAAGGGTTATAGTCATAACCCGAGACGTTTTTGTTCCTCTCAATCAGCCTTATGCACAGCTGCACTACTTCCTGAACTTAAGCCAGCTCCTTGTTTCCTGTCTGCCATTATTGGTCAAATTGATTGATTCAGGTGTGCCTGACCTCAGTAGTCATGGCAACAATAATCAGACACACCTGAATTAATCAAGTTTGGCCAATAATAGCAGACAGGAAACAAGGAGCTGGCTTAAGTTCAGGAAGTAGTGCAGCTGTGCATAAAGTCAATTCCGATTTCGTTTTAACTCATACGCTGGCCAATGTAGTCCAAGATTAACATGGTTTCCAGTTCGACCTCGTCCATGATTGTTAACTCAAACGTAAACACGAAAGGCGAAGCTTGAATTAACAGGTATGTCCCTCTTTGGCTAATGTACTTTCAAGATGGAGGGGCAACCAGTGGTGGAATGTAACGAAGTACAAATACTTTGTTACTTTACTTAAGTACATTTTTCACGTATCTTTACTTTACTTAAGAAGTATAAATAGTGCATACTTTTTACTTTTACTTCGTTACATTTTGCAGCAATTATTATACTTTCTACTTCACTACATTTCTACAACTTCTGTTACATTTTCATTACATTTTCTGATCAGTTTTTCCCCTGCCAAAACGTAATCTGACCGTCCGTTCGTTGCACGTTTGTCTCACCAGTGACGTTTGGTTGCCATAGATACATCAATTAAATGCGTCTCGTACGGAGTGGAGGCAATTTATATGCGGAAAATTGTTTTTACGTGCATAGGAAACACATGTTTGGTTAGGATTATGGCAAGCCAAGAGGTTCAGAATTACACCATAAATAAATCGTGTCTACTGCCAAACATAGTTATTAATATATAGTAAGGATAAGCATGGTTTATATTGCCTAATTGCAAGCTTGTTTCAGAAATGGTGACAACAATTTTTTCCATCATTATTGAACATCATTATAGGAGTATTAGGTTGAATGAGTTAGAATTAAATGGTTTATTAATCATTAGTCATTAAGAGAATCAATTGTTATGCAAGTGCTTTTACTTTTAATACTTAAAGTACATTTAAAATCAGGTACTTTTTACTTTTTACTTAAGTATGGTTGTCATTGTGTTACTTCTACCTTTACTAAAGTAAAAATGTATCTGGTTATTTGTACTTTTACTTAAGTACTGAGATTCAGTACTTCCTCCACCACTGGGGGCAACATGGCGACTGACATTAGAACCCCTTACCCGTATGTATTTTCAATGGCGTATTATACACTCAAGAGAATACTTTAGAATACTAAAACTAAAAGAGTTACACAGTGTAGCTTTAAATATATGTATATATATATATATATATATATATATATATATATATATATATATATATAGTGTATGGTATTTATAATAAACAACTTGAAATGAATAATAAAAAAATATATATATAATTTACCATCAGATGTTTTACTAAGAAGCCAAAGCATACAGACAGAAAATGAATACATTTGCTTTATTCCTCATCACTTTGGATAAAATGTTTGCTAAATGAAAAGCAAATCTGAAAAATAAACTATCTCTAATCTGCTAAATGTGATTATAAGTCATGAATATATTAAGATATTATAAACAACCACATCATGGTTTTCTGTGTAGCTGTTAAGCCATCAGAGCAAAAAATAAAATAAAATAAAAATAATCATAATTTTATTGAGGTGGCATTAGACCAAGCAATTGACCGGAAAGTAATCCTACAATAATTTAAAAAACTTTTTCAGTGCCTGTTTTTTTTAACACGGTCATGATCCGTTAAAGAGGTTTAAAGTGAATCCAGTCCAGATCAGAACACAATATCACGCTTCCCAAACAAAAGCGAGTTTGCAGGCGGTGAACATCCCCACAGGATATGAGAACCAGGAACGATGGCCTAGTTTATTTAAATGCCAGAAGGGGTTGGGTAACTGATTTTGATGGATGGGATGCTGATATATTATCTGAAGGAGGGGCCCACCGGCTTGTGGCAAGAGATGATGGTAGACAGGTGCAGAGGCTGGTAGATGCCGCATGCGTTTACAGATCCTTCCAGAACAGAGTCACACGGCTCAGCTTTTTTAATGCCATTTAGACAGCAGGCTGTTGGGGAAGAATTGAGAGAGGCTGCTACACAAGCACAGAGGAAATGAACTGTTCCACATCAGTAAATATTGGAAGGGAACATTTGGAAAATGCTAAAAGACGGCACTAAGCCAACGGTGCATTTTTATTCATGCAGCGTAGCGGCTTAAGGGCATAAGCCAATATAATAGATCTGTGGTGATGACAGGACCATCCTACATTATCATAATAATCTAAACTTATATTATTATCGGCTAGACGGTGGTGGAGGAATTCACTTTCACCTCTAATGTTCTAAAAGGTGCGTCACGCACCAGTGAAAGTCAATCCCAATTTACTGCGGCAAAAATATTCTACACATTTACATTTTCTGAATACAGCGAGAGTCATGCTTGCCCATGCAAAACTCACCAACACTTTACTGGGGTGTTATGGATGGTTGCCACGGTGTTACTATGTGGTTGCTAGGTTTGAATCACGTGAAGAGAGTTCACTGTGGTATCCGGTCTCTAGATATGGCCTTCTGAATACAATATGAAAGATGTTTACCTATGCAAAATTCACCAACAACATGCTGGGGTTTTATGGATGGTTGCCAAAATTTTGCTATGTGGTTGCTAATGTATTCTTGGGTGAGTTTCCTGAAAGCATAGTTCCAACAAACATTTGCTAACAGCTCACAAAGTTGTGGGTTTGAATGACAGTATGTGACAGCTGTAGTTAGAAGCGTTGTTTCTTGTTTGCATAACGTGTTGACTTAATAAATCCTTATCTTGAGCAAAATGAGCAAGCTGACATTCAGTACAATATATATATATCTTATACTAAAACAGAGGTTTAAAGTCCAGGGGTCAGAAAGTAAAAATCCTGCCATATGTTTATTCCAGTCATTAACATCTCCTGGCTGAAAAACTGTGGTAATTAGCAAAGAAAACACTGAGGAGGACTTACTTTCTGAACTTGTACTTTACATCTCTGTACTAGAATACAAATGTAATTTCCGTCTTTTGGTTTGAGAGATTTAAAGCAACATTTCTGAAGAGTATGCATGTGTGTACGTGTTCTGGGGCCTCATTTATAACCGTTGCGTATGCTCAAAACAGGCCCTGAAAGAGGCGTACGCCACTTCCATCGCACAACTTGTGATTTATAAAAAACCGATGGTGAGGTGACTAATCATAAATACAGTGCATGTTCATAATAACAGTTTAAATACATAAAATAATGATTTAAACTTTATTTTACAGTACATCTGATAGACATTAAGATTAAATATGCCATTCTCATTAATGGAGTTAAGTACATAAATTACATGAAATCATTCCAGAGAAGTTACACAAAATTAATTTTCTAATTAATAGAAAAATATTTAGTGGATGTAACTGGGATTTATAAAGGGAATTAAGCGCAGGTTTTAGCGTACACACATCCATTTTTTCGCACCTACACTTTTAGTGAGGATCCTATGCACAGATTTATAAATGAGACCCCTGGTACAGTATGTAATAACGAGCCTACAATTGAATCTGGAAATAGGCTTAAGCAAAATTATTCCTCAGATGGCATGTCCATAATTTAGCAAAATCGAATAATTCGGCCTTACATATGGCCTTATTCAATGAGCGTCAGTGGGATTGTCAACTATTTTATCATCAAGCGGGTGTAAGTAGTAACAGCACGCCTAGAGTCCAAATCGCACAGCCCATATTTGCTAATATATAGTCAAAATAAACCAGACCAGTGATTTTCATTACGAATTCATTGTATTTTGCATATTGTTTTAATTAATGATGAAACACGATCATTAATTCAAACGATAACAGCTTTTGTTTTGTACATAACATTTCTTTAACATACTGTATACTATACATTTTGTCTAGAAACAGTTTGACATGTAAAGTTCCTAAAATAAACTTTTGTTGCTTTCGTGTACAGAGAATCGTCCTCCCTGTCGGACGGCATTTCACCGCTTAGTGGTTTGGCAATGCAGAGGAAATAAAGGCAAACACTCCCTGTTCTCTCTCTGAGTCTCACGTTTTGTGCTTTGGCTGTGTGCAAGAAAAGAGTGAAACCTTCCAAAGAAAAGAAATTCAAGCAACAAACAAATGTCATATCGGTACAGTTCAAGATGATCAAGCCCACATGATTCCCCCAAGTAAATGTCTTATGGTGGATGGTGTCAGAAAGAGCAGAGACTCAAAAGCCATCTTCTCATATTAAGGTCTTCACACAGCTCAACATAAATATACTCTTCTGTGTTTGAATCGTATCTTATTATAAAACTAACACTAAGTTAAACTTGTGCACATGTGAGTTATAATCAGGATCAGACAGAATCTGTAGACTCATTGGAAATATTTACCTGTGGCAATCTTTCTGCAAAACATGCATATCGCTGCAGAACAGAAATCTAACAGAAATGAACAGTAGAAGCAGTAAAACAGCAATCAATTTTAATCATTTTCATACAAAATTACAATTACAGGGTGCTATATAAATATTATGATTACATAATATTTTGCATGATTTCTTGACTTTTTATTAATTGTGGCAAGCAGGGAGGGGACAAGAGCTGTGGAAAGGGAGTGAGACCGGTGGTGCGAGGGTTATTGAGCGTCACCTGCGCGCCACACCGTTCTCGAGTCCCACGGAGGAGCTCCGGAAGGATAAAAGGAGGAGTGACGACAGCGCAAGACGAGAGAGGATCAGGCCTGGGACATTTATGTTGTGTTTCATTATGTCACCCTCACTGATGACAGCAGCTTGACTTTCATTTTTTTGTTTGTTTATTTTTTCATTTAATTTACGTTGATTCCCGCCTCCTCCTTCCCTGAGGCTTTAAACATTGCTACACCATAGATCCTTTACAAATCATGAACTAATACATTTTGGAGTTCACGTAACTAGCTTCATATGTTTTAACTTTTCTGACATACTAAGTTTGTTTGCTTGGGTGCGAACCCTATGAAACAAGAGTTACGACAAAAGAGCTCAAAGACTTGAGCTAAAATGTTTAAGCTCAGATATTAAATGTTTAAGTTAAACATTTAAGCTAAAATGTCACGTTTTTTAAAAGCTAAAAAGCGTTTTTATGTCACATTTGCTTTTGTTAACACTATCTGGTAGGTGTACAGTTTAGTGTAGGTGTACGTTATTTTAAAAAGTGATGGAGCATTAACCTTTAAGCGTCACTTACTGGACATTTCAAATCACAGCTACTGTGATACGTACAAAACCAACATAATAAAACATTGCCAGATTCACTTAGCTCCAAACATTTAGCTGAGGATTTCACTTTAAAACTGTTGTGAAAAGTGCACGATGCGATGTATTATCATTTTGCAGAAACGTTGCCACAGGTTTGTTTTTGGGTTGGAATCGGCCCCACAGTTTTTAAAATCAACATCAAACACCATTGGAAAACCCATTTTACCTCCATGATGTGACACTTACTGAAACCAAATGAGAAAAATAGATATAGAACTTGATTTCATCCCCCGGGAACTGGACGGCTGGTGAATAATTGAGCCAGGTGGTTGGAAGGGAGGATTTGCAGAGAATATATCTTGCATTATGTTTATTTATGTTTACTTTCCCTGTTAAGCTTAAACCTTACTAAATTAAGTAGGATTTTGGCTTAAAACAGGATAAAACAACTTTCCAATGAGGGAAGGAAAGTAAACTTAATTCAGGAAGATATCGTAAATTCTCTGAAAACAAGTTTTTTGTTTTTTTTTACTTGAAATTTTTTCCTTGAAACTTGAAATGAAATTTTGAAGTCCCCTAGGCGTTAAATGTTTATATTAAAAAACAAGATAAATTAGTGATTTATTGCAGTATAAGGATGTCAACAGAAACGAAAAGTAGTGTCAGAGGTCGTTTCAAGTTATTCCCTTTTGTTGAAAGATGACAAGACATTTCTCATTAGAGTAATGTGTCCTTGTGAATCATTCACTATAAAAATCAATCAATCTTAGTTTCAAATTGACTTCAAATCCATTCCACAGATTTCCCAAAGAACAGATTCTCTCCAGGCCTGGTTATAATTGACCCCTCGCCAGCCCTACCTGTAGCAACTGTTGCTGTGTACCATCAGACAAGCTTTTGTTCCATTCTAATGTAAGTGTTTGAATAATTTTAATTTTTTTTTTTTAAATCATTAAATAAACCTTGAGTAATAAATTAAACTCTCATTACCCAATCAACATCTAGGACATCAGAAAAAAAACATAACATAATCTTAAGTTTTGAATTTTGAATTTTTTAACTACATATCTAATGAAAATCTTAAAACAAGATAAATCTTCTTAAGAAGAATATACTGTAGGTAAATACTGTATGTGTTCTGTGTTATGTCTTCTTACTTTACTTCTGTTTGCAATGCACTGGCAGCTTCTTTAGTAAATGTATCTGGTATCAACCATCCAGATTTTTAATTATTTTATCTGGAAAGCAAGTCAAAATACTAATCAAGAATCGTGTTTTTTTATAGTGTACTGTTGTTCCAATATGAATGCATGTTTCTTACTTAAATGTCATCTGATATATTGATTTCATAGCGGTTCTATTCACTTATACTAAGGTATAAGTGGTAATCAGCTGTAATTGCTTTTCTCTTTTCAGTGATTGTAAGAAGAATTTGGCAGTCTCTGTTCACAGTCTCACAGTTTTTAATCACTTTACTGTGTAATTTATCAGTTTCGGATCAAAAACGGCGGATAAAAGATTCTCTGCAATGTCACGCTTCTTTCTAGCCCACGTAAGAAAAATATCCAATCCATTTTTACCACTTCATGAGCTCCTTTTACTAACAATTGCACCATTCTTGTCAAATTTGTGTGAGTGAGCAACAGTAACAAAGTCAGGTGGAGCTTAGCAAAGGGTCCAATGAGGTTTTAGTGCACTTTGAGAGAAGCAATTTGTCCCTTTGTTCCCCTACGTAATTAAAAAGTGCTTGTGAATTGGATATGATGAAATAGTGATACGACTGAGTGAACCATTACACAGATTACTGAAACCAGACGGTGTAATTTTACAGTATTGCTGTAAGAAAAAATGAAAAGAACATTATGCAAACATTAAAATGGTAGCAATGCAAAAAATGATTCAGAAATCTGTAAACAGAGATAAAAAGGAATTATGTAGAAGGGAAAACAGATTCAATCCCGATGGCCACAGAGCATTAGGCTACAGCCACGAAACACATCAATGACAGCTCTGTCAGGTGCACTATATTACACGAAGGCATGTTTGCGCCCGGCAGAGATGATTAGCTTCTACATTCCGAGTTGGTGTCAGAAAGTGAGCGAGGCTTCTGTATCAGCACTTAATCCTGGGCGTGTGGAAAGTGGGTGTCCGGTGTGCTAGAGGCGGTGGAGTTGTGTTCGCCTGTGTCAGCGTCAACCACTCTGAATGTACTTCTTAATTACCACGCAGCCGTGTCTAAAGAGTGGGCAGGGCAGGCTCTGCTGCAGAGTCCACACGTTGGCACAGGGGTCGAAAGCCTCCATGGTTCCCAGAGCCGGGCCCTCGCTGCTCACAATGCCACCGGTCGCGTAGATCTTCCCATCTAGGACCACCGCACTGGAAAATAAGTTATTTGAGAACTGGTTCAGTTTCTCTCTTTCTTTCTTTGTAAAAATTGATTTTCACTTTGACAAACAAACAGAAATAAAAGAACCAAATAGAACCTGACTGGAGGAAAAACAATCATTAATTCATAATTTAATAATACTAATACTATTAATACAAATCTTAACAATTACAATAGGTTTTCAGCACTTTGTGCATGAACCCCTAATAATATTTTTAAAACAGTATATTAAAAAAAATGAAATATAAAAAGAAAAACACTACTAATAATTAAATAAAGGGCACAACCCCTAAACTAGACAACCCCAAGCCTAACAATAAACTGAAACAAAAAAAATTCCACAAAAAAAAAAAAAAAAAAAAAAAAAATTTCACTCAGATATTGCTCATAAATTACACAAGTAATATATTGACTTAAATGTGTAATTTAGAAAGCAAGTAAAAAGACTAAAATAGTATTTTCTTGGAAAACATACACCAATAATCTTTGTTTTATTTACAAATTGTTAAAAAAACAACAATCCTAAATTAAAAACAGCAGGAACAACAACAAAAAAATATTAAAATGTAATTTATTTACGGGCATGTCATGGCACAAATAACAACTTTGAACAAATGAACATTTTGTAAATATTAACTTACAACCTCAAGGGAATTAAAAAAAAAATAATAATAATATATATATATATATATATATATATATATATATATTAGGTCAAAGGGGTTCATCTGCCACAAAAAACGCATGTGTGTATACTTTGAAGCAGGGATAAATTATGTTAATCTTAATGAAAATTATTGTTTCTTCGTACAGTTTTAGATCTGGACAGAAGAAAGTGCTAAAAAATACTCTGGCAGTGTTTGAGTTGTGAATTGGCACCAGGACCGTTTAATTCTCTCAGATTCTTGACCCTAGTTATTTGAAAAAAGAATACTGGATTTCTTACCACATACATACACATAATGATAAAGAAGATTATATTCACAAGGGAAATTTTATATAAAGGCTGATCTTATTGTCAAACTGTTGGATGAGACGAATCATCTACCAACTAATCTTCTCTTGGGCCATATTCATTTAAAGCCCTTGACAGGTTTCAAAATGTTAATGCGGAAACCCATGCGAGTGTGACTGTAACTGACGTGTCGTTTCTGGAAAACATATTTGTATCGCAAATACACAGCAGAAGCGTAAAAGGTGCCTGTGTGTGCTTTGGGGGGACGTGATGCACTAGAGATTGTTCTGAGGTTCGTTCGTGCTTTATCTCCTGCTGAGATAATTACTGCCTCTGCTGCGAATACCAATCAGCAGTGAAAGCAAATCGGGCCCAAAGCCCGACCCTGGGGGACACCGAATAAAGTCTTTGGAGCAAACAGGGCAGGCTTTTGTGTAAACTGGAACACATCACTTTAACAATGTGCTTTTCTCAGCTTGATCCATCTGCACTTACTTGATCATGGTTGTTATTGCTCATTTTCTTCATTAACATTAGCAGTTATGTGGTGAGAATAGCATTTTTGGAATATTTGAAAGCAACTGCAACAATTACATGAATATGTTGCTAAATAAATAATGTCAAAAACCATAAAAATAACTGTCAAAGCACTCAAACCTAAAGACAAATGCGTTTTAGACAGCTGGAGTAAGCTACTGTAAAACAGGATAATCCCCAGCTAGCTGTGCATTAAACGATTTTAAGCATTTTGAATGCGTAGCACATTAAAATAGTTAAATTCAGTAGCAAAGTTGACAAGTTTCTGTGCTCCTGTTTAGTGTGTGCAGGGTGTGACTACTACTATGACTACTACTACTGCTACTATGAGGTATTGCAAGGTGTTCACTCTTAATGTAAATTATATTCTTAATTTATGTCCCCAATATTTTTTTTAAGCGTCCTAGCAAAGGATGAATGCCGTGTTATAAACAGTGACATACAAGACTACTAGTCTTGCATTAAGTGTCTTGCATTAGTCTTTGCATATCAGGAGTGTACGTAGGGTTTTCTAAATACCCAGGTATATATTATAGTATTTTATTGCTAGGGGGGTTGAGGCCTGGCAACACTGAATTGACTTTCAGCTGAATAATGACATTATTCTCTTTTGTTTAGGTTCTTTACAGCAGAATTAAATTATGTTTGCATCATTGATCAATATTTTCCTGTTTGTTACTGTAAAGCTGCTTTGAAACAATCAGTATTGTAACAAGTATTGTATAAAGTACTATATAAATAAAGGTGACTTGACTTGTCATAATTGCTAGTATATACATTTCAAAATTACATATTACATGTATTGTCTTACTAGAAAACTTGCAGAACAAGAAATCAGTAATTGACCAATTTATTGGCTGGATGTGGCATTTTGCCTTTAGAGAACGAAAACAAATGTTTTCTTAAAGTAACACCAGGGAGCTTTTCAACCTTCATAATATATTTCCAAGTCTCTTGTGATGGTACATCGACTTACAATAGGTTGAATGACACGTCTGCCATAGCCTGACAGGGTCTGTAGCGTTTTTAATCGCACTTTTAAACTTCGGGTTTTGGGTAGTAACCCGGCGAACAAAGAGAACTACAAAATTTGACTGCTTGATGCCATATACGTCACTTCCATCACCACCCCCATTTCCTTAAAATCGGGCGTGCGAGCAAAATGTTATAGTCATGGCCGAAGCAGCACAGAAAAACAAGAAAGCAAAGGTTTTATCGGAGCAAAGCAAAAAGAGAAAGTGATCGTTCTCATGTTAAAGGCAGAATGGGGGTCAACATTGGGCCAGCGTTTTCTCGCTGGCGTGAGCTGAAGGAGGAGGAGGAGTGGTGCCCGCATAGATGGGTACCCACCGATGTGGACTTGGCTGTCATGCTTTGACTAGTAAGTGTATTGCTTGCATACTACAGTATCTCTTTGTTTCGTTTTTTTTGTCTGCCTGACTATGTTACGGAAGCTATCTTATCCTCCTTCATGAATCAAGTATGATAGTAGAGTAGCGAATTATCAATCTGGTAGCAAGTAAACGATATTCTAGTAAAAAAAATGAAATGAAATGAAAACCTATGTCTTAACAGTGTGTACAAGTTTGGTAGGGGCTACATTCTTGCAAGTAAATATATAAGATGTACAAAATCACATTTTAGGATACCTAACATGTCTGTGAAATTCGTTTATTTTTCTTGCCTCAAGCTATAATGCAAATCGATTTGTAAAATTTGCAGATTCATTTATGGTAGCTTGATATTATAATATTGACGATATATGGTTATTATCTACCAGTCAAACATTGCATTGGAGATACTGACAGATATAGATTTAGTAAAACCGTAACCAATAGACTAGGCTACTAGACCATTTTGCAAGATGTAAACAACACTGGTCCAGAAACACTTCCTGTTTCAGTTTGTAGCTGTTTTCTTTATTTCACATGTAAAGAAAACATCTTAAAGATGTTTGTTTAACTTTTTGATTCAGTTTTAAATGTTCTGTTGGTTGTATTTTATCCCAGCTTTTATGTAGTGTTAAAAAACAGAAACAGGAAGTGCTTCTGGACCAGTGTTGTTTACATCTTGCAAAATGGTCTATAATGACGCTGGCTGGTAAACGTGAGCATCGCGATCACTTGTCGTTTGAAAAAAAAAAAATAAAACCCATGAAATTATATTCATATGATGAAATATTTGCCACTGTACCTGGGATGAAGACATTTTCACACGTGACGCAAACAGAACACATGTGACCTCTTCCTACAATGTTTAGGGCTATCATGGTTGTCAAAAAAATGCACGTGCAAGTAGGATGACAGAGTTTACGACAGTAGTAGAGGACATACTGTTTCCCAACTGTATGGGGACTCCGAGAGCAAAAACTACCTGGTGTTACTTTAATTTCTTTTTAAAAGTGCAAAAGTTCAATACTTTACTTTATAAGTATTAACTACAAAGAAGTAATTAGTCTAAAACATAGTAATAGTGACACACCATTGATCAGAGCAAACTTGTGCAGTAAACCTCTATTCAAAGAACCATGATTGCACAAGAATGTTTTAAGTAGCCATGACTAATTAACTTTTCTTACAGCTGAAAAACTCTCAATCAAGTTTTCACCAAGGAAGGACAGACGATGGTCTGCAGCTTAATTGTCAGACCCATTTGTGGTTAACATGCTGGTTTTACCTGCAGAACTGTCTGGAGTGGTTCATGTTGGGTCCTGCTTTGATGTTCCCTTTCTCAGGGTCGTAGATGGTGGTGGCTCTGGCGTATGCTCCTCCCAGGATGAAGATATATCCATTCAGAGTCACAGCCGGGGCGTATTTGTTATCTGAACAATGGCAAAATAAAACAGAAGTCACCACTAAACCAATTTAAATCCATAATGTCAGGAACATCCAGCATGCAAATATGCATGAATGAAAGATTTTCTTTTCCCCTCTGGAATAATGTGCACTGATGAATCATTCACAATAAGACCAGAAAAACATATTAAGGTAAATAAGGTTAAATTATTTTATGTTGCTTGAAAAGAATCTCTTGTAAATGCATCACACCACAAATCAACTTATAAACAAGATTACAACGCATATTTTAGAACAGAGACTAGCAATTATTATGGGTTTGTTATGTTTCATTCACTGAGAAAGGCACCTGAATAGATTATTAATTTAAACAATATACAAGTATAAGAGTAACAGCTGGGGTCATTCTGTCAACTGTCCAATTGTAAATCAATAGCCCTGTTCAAGCACATTATGTTGGCATGAATGCGGTTAACTTCTTTGATGTAAGTAATCAAGCAGGAGAAAACACATAAATAATTGATGAGTGGCAAATAATTGAATTGAATTCACATTCAACCCAGCAGCTGTGACATCAACCTCAGCCGCTGAAGAGAGACGTGAGAACATTGAGCTAATTAAATCTTGAGCCTTTCAGATTTGGAGTGAGACCTCCCGGGAAGAACAGATATTACGGATAATGTTAAAAAAAGGTGGAGGGAAGGTTAACAAATAATGGTCAGAAATAGAAGTGTGCCATGTGCAATACTGAAAACTAAACAAGAGAAATATTTGATCTCACTTAATCTATCAAAGCTAAGCAGTGCCCTAAGTACAAGACAAATACAGGGAGATTACCACAGCTCAAGAGTAAATCTTACAAAACCCTGTTAAGAACCTGGTCATGTTTTAGCCCACAATAAAAATAAATAAATAAATAAATTGAAATTCTCACACACACACACATATATATATATATATATATATGCATTAATGAGCAGTTGGACAGGAGGTACCTAATAAAGTGGCTGGTGAGAGTGTATATACAGTGGGTAAGGAAAATATTCAGACCCGCTTAAATTGTTCACTCTTTGTTATATTGCAGCCATTTGCTAAAATCATTTTCCCCCTCATTATTGTACACACAGCACCCCATATTGACAGAAAAACACAGAACTGTTGACATTGTTGCACATTTATTAAAAAACTAAAACTAAAATATCACATGGACCTAAGTATTCAGACCCTTTGCTCAGTATTTGGTCGAAGCACCGAAGCAACAAGTTTTTTCACATCTGGAATTGGGTATCCTCTGCCATTCCTCCTTGCAGATCCTCTCCAGTTCTGTCAGGTTGGGTGGTAAACGTACTGTAGGTGGACAGCCATTTTCAGGTCTCTCCAGAGATGATCAATTGGGTTTAAGTCAGGGCTCTGGCTGGGCCATTCAAGAACAGCCACGGAGTTGTTGTGAAGCCACTCCTTCGTTATTTTATGCTAAGGGTCATTGTCTTGTTAAAAGGTGAACCTTCGGCTCAGTCTGAGGTCCAGAGCACTCTGGAAAAGGTTTTCGTCCAGGATATCCCTGTACTTGGCCGCATTCATCTTTCCCTCGATTGCAACCAGTCGTCCTGTCCCTGCAGATGAAAAACACCCCCACAGCATGATGCTGCCACCACCATGCTTCACTGTTGAGACTGTATTGGACAGGTGATGAGCAGTGCCTGGTTTTCTCCACACATACCGCTGAGAATTAAGGCCAAAAGGTTCTATCTTGGTCTCAGCCACAGTGATCTTTGGGTTCTTCTTTACCTCTCTCACCAAGGCTCTTCTCCCCCGATAGCTCAGTTTGGCTGGACGGCCAGCTCTAGGAAGGGTTCTTGTTGTCCCAAACGTCTTCCATTTAAGGATTATGGAGGCCACTGTGTTCTTAAGAACCTTAAGCGCAGCAGATTTTTTATTTTATTTTTTGTAACCTTGGCCAGACCTGTGCCTTGCCACAATTCTGTCTCTGAGCTCTTCAGGCAGTTCCTTTGACCTCATGATTCTCATTTTATTTGCTTTGACATGCACTGTGAGCTGTAAGGTCTTATATAGACATGTGTGTGGCTTTCCTAATCAAGTCCAATCAGTATAATCAAACACAGCTGGACTCAAATGAAGGTGTAGAACTATCTCAAGGATGATCATAAGAAATAGACAGCACCTGAGTTAAATATATGAGTGTCACAGCAAAGGGTCTGAATAGGACCATGTGATATTTCAGTTTTTCTTTTTTAATAAATGTGCAAAAATGTCAACAATTCTGTGTTTTTCTGTCAATATGGATGCTGTGTATACAATAATTTACGGGAAAAAACGAACTTAAATGATTTCAGCAAATGGCTGCAAAATAACAAAGAGTGAAAAATTTAAGGGGGTCTGAATACTTTCCGTACCCACTGTATATGGGGCTTTTGCACCGGGTAGTTCCACCGCCAGTAGAAACTCTGAAGTGACGTAAGCCATGTTTGTTGTTGTCATTTTTATTTTGATGGTGCAGCAGACTTTTATTTTGATGGAGCTGAGAATGCCAGAGCTTGAGCACACAGCACTCACATTCTCCATTACTGTAAAACTACAAATAATAGCCGAGTCCCAAATAGACGCCTGTCTCATTTACACTCCTGGTGTGGCTGCAGGTTTGCGTAAATAAAAGCCTGTCTCAAATAGAGGCCGGGTCTGTTTTTTAGTTTGCTAGTTTCAGGTTGTTAATCTTCTAAAACCGTCAGATCGTCCGTCTTTTGGTGGCCGCCAAAGAAAATTTTTTGGCCCGCCAAAGCGTATTTTGATCGGTGAGTGATGTACCCGAGTGCGTTCGCACTCTCACGTCTTTAAACAACACGAGCGCTGTCTCGCGCTCTCCCTCGCGCATATTAATCAAATCAAATGACATGATTGGTAAAAGGTTAACCGCAGATTTACGTAGAGCATTTGGAGATTTTTAGAGATTATAGACTCAATGAACAACATCTCAACACTAAATTATAAAGGCCTGGTCTCAAATACAAGCCGGTGCAGTTCGACGATTTGGGAAAATAAAAGTTTTACGGTAGTTTTACGCTAGTTTATGGTCTGTTTTACAGTCCTGTCTGATATATCATTAGATAGAACTGTTAAAGAAAGTAGACAGTATAGGAAAAAGTGTTAGCGTTTGTTGTATGGTTAATGCCCAATGTTACTAGCTGAGCAGAAGTACATGATCATGTTTTGCTAGGTCCAAAGTTGCGTTGGATTTTCTCCTTAGCATAAAGGTTGAGAGGTCCATCTATCAAAGTGTGTGTAGAGTTAGTTTTAGGAGTAAATATATATAGGCTATATTCAGCCAGTGGCACTTATCCTCAATAAACTCGTCTCCATACCAGCGAGATGATCTGATCCGATCTTCAACCAGATGAAACTGGAAAAATATTCTGAATGTTCCAATCCAATCTGACTTCTGACCTGTAATGCTGCCTGAATCATAATCATACACTGTTCCATTTATAGGCCAGAAGAGAACTTGCACCCGTTTGAGCCTGGTCTATCCCAAGGTTTTTTCTCCATTCAGCCACCTGATGTAGTTTTGGTTTCTTTTTACCGGCTTTTGGCTTGCTTAGTTGGGGACATTAAACATTCAACAGACATTAAATCTGCCTGTATTTAATATACAAGGGTGATCAAAAAAATGATCAGTTCTCATATGATGATGTCAATACAGGCAGATTAACTAAATTCATAACTTTTAAACAACAAAAATGAACCATCACTGAACTCACTTAAGCTGGACTAAAACTTTATTTTCTTCTAGATCTGCTGTACAGCAGAAACAAACTTTGTTGCATAATTTTCCCGTTGTCACTGTAATGTTGCTTTGAAACAATCTGTATAGTAAAAAAGCACTATATAAATGAAATATATAAAGATGACTTGAAAATAATCTGTGTGTAAACAGCTTTTTTTCTTAAATGACTTTGTACACTGACACATGTATTATTCTTATTTTGCACCTGCGCAAAGCGGGCTTTTCCCTACACAGACGATGCAAAAAGGAGGCGTGTTTTGACACAAACATTCCCTAGTTCTATTTTACAGTTCCAGAAAACAATTTCAGCCACTGACCAGAAAAAAAAAAACATAGTCTAAAGTCAGTGGCGCGTTGTGCATTGTTCCTAATGCTATTTTAAGTGCGCATGCTTAGCCCAACGTTGTGTAGCGGGTGCACAACGCACATACACTTTGATTCTCTCATTAACACAGATGCAGCAGGTTTTATTTTTGCAAATCATACATTATAATACGGACAAACATTAACACATGCGGGAAATCATTGTGGTGTCCATGAAAATTTAAAAAATGTAGGCCTAAAAACTAGCTTACACATTTACCCACATTTTTCAGGCTAATAGTGGTAATGATGGATCAGACCTGTCTGACCAATAGTGGCAAGACAAATATGTAAATAAGGACTAGTTTGTCCGTCAAGAACCAGGAAAAAAAAATCTCCCATTCTCATACAACGTCATTTCTCTTCATTGCCCTGACAAGAACGTCGGCCTCCTCGGCTGTGAACAGCTCCCGGTGCGCGCCTGGTAAAGCCGCCATAATAATAATAACAATCAGCCATGCAACATGTGCACCTGCTCTTAAAGGGTTTGTTGGATGATGCTCTGATTGGTTTATTTCACGTTACGCCCAAACCACACCTATGAATAATGAAGCTATTTCAGACCAACCCCTTTTAAACTTGCGTCGGGCACGAGAGTCATTTATCCCGCCGGTAAAGTAGCAACAGTGCCCAAGACCCGCCCCCAAAGTTACTTGCGCTTCGCACTTGATACTTGCATTTCAGATCGGTAAAATAGGGCCCAGAGTGTCACTCCTGTCAGCTGAGAACAGGGAACTGAGGCTACAATTCACACCGCCTCACCAAGATTGGACAATTGGAGACTGGAGAAGCGCTGACTGGGCTGATGAGTCTTGATTTATGCTGCAACATTCAGATGGTAAGGTTAAAATTTGGTGCAAACAT